CTCTGGAGACAATAAGACCAGGGTGCCAATCCCAAAAACCATAGTTTGGGGCTTCTATTCTGCCTACCCCACCCCCATATCTAACAAGACATGGATTTCAGCTCATGCTCCAAATAACTGCCCGAACCTTATGAAAGGGCAGCATCCCATAGCCAGGGATGTCCACCTAACCTACCTCCCTGTCACCTATGGGATGCTGCCAATAAAAGGACAAAAACTCTTTTGGATGTCTCCTGGCACAAATCAGCTGGATAAATTCTCAGTCCACTGTCTCTATTCTTCTCTTTGTCTTTCCTATTCTCCTTCCCTTTCTTCTCTCCTGAGAGGGTGAGATAGCACAGCACAGTGATTCCCTACTGGATCTGTGTCATAGTCTGCCCCAACCAAAAGTAGACCCCAAAGATCCCTCAGTTCTCTTCTCTCATCCCAGCCCAGAACACTGAGACTCAGGCCAGGGGTCTTATTTGCTCAAGGTCATGGGCAAGTCTGCCATAGAGCCGGTCTGAACATCTAAGCTTCCCAGGTCCTCAGTCCAGGCTTCTTTTAGTAAGCCAGGCTTTTTGGCTTTCAGGTGCTCCTGCTGGTAATGTCGGAAGAGATTCAGTTCTGGAACCATCCAGAGTTGGAGCCTGGGTGGAGATAGTGACCCCGGTGCCTCAGAGAACAGCGGCCGGGCGGGCTGAGGTTGTGGGAAGGGTGAGGGAAGAAGGAAAAGCAGGTTAATGAAGGGGCGGGTTGGGGGACGCCAAGGGCAGCAAGTGAAAGGATTACCCCAGTCTGCTGACGAGTGCAAATTATATTTATATATGTGCTAAATACAGTCACTATATTGGAGTTTTTCACTAGATCACAGCATACAGAATCAAAGGTTTGCATTTCGTATGGAATGTATCCAAAGAGGCCAGCACCACAGTAGGACAGCTTGCAATCACACACCCTGATAGTTTGGACGAAATAAAGTTTGCGGAATTTTATTTAAATTTTTTTTTTTGTATTCATAGTTGTTTGTCATCGTACCAATGCATGCAAAGCATTCCACTCCCAGAAACAACGCCAAAATGAGGTAATAGGAGTAATAAAAAAAATTAGTATCCTTTCTAAATAAATAAATTATAATTAAAAATGCAAAACAACTATAAAAATAATTAAATAAGAACCCACAATATCTACAAGTTAGTCATAAATTATGATTGTTAAATATAAGGCATTTAAACTCACAAAACCCTGTAAACTAGCAACGTGCCATGTTTTTTGTTTTTTGTGTTTTTTTTCATTTTTGTTTTTCTATCAGCTGAAATCGCTCTAGCATTTGCTCTACGCGCGCAGGAGATGAAACACGAGGGGACCTGACAGACGTTGCTACAGCCCCACACGGGGAGTGTTTGTCCCGCCAGTAAGCGGGGGGTGGGGGGGCTTAGGGGATTTTTTTTTCAGGAAAAAAAAAAAGTCTGGTGCTTTTTCTTCACCATTGAAAAAACTGTGCTTGTTCATTAGGCGTACAGAGTTAAGAATACTTGCACGGAGGCTGGGAACATTTGCAGAAGAGGAGCTTGAGTCCTGCCACAGGTGGTGGCCAAGGGCAACAGGGGGGCCGGAGGGGGTTCTGGCCAGGTGGGGGAGCTGAGGCCCCTGCCTGCCCTTAGCCTGTGCCAGCCGGGTTTGTGGCATTGGGTTGAGTGATTGGCATCCTTGGTGGATCCGCAAGGCAGGGCTGCTGCTGCGGGTAGGACGCCCAACGTGAACCCTGGGGCTGCTCTTGCCCCAGAAGGCACTCATGCGTCTCAGTCAGGAAAGGGTCTGAGTCCCTTGAGTTGAGCAGGAGGAGGGCTTCGGGTGGTGTCCCCTCCTGGAGGTGGTGGATGTGAGATGCTGAGGCCTGATCCTGCCATCCTACCTCTTCTCCCCTCTTCCCAGCCTCCCTCCTGGAGTTGGGGGTAGAGAGAGGCCTCCAGTGGGCAGAAGTGCAGACGGGCTTCTCTCTTCCCACCCAATGGCTGCCTGGCTGAAGTGGGAGCTGGGAGGGTTCTGAGTGCCTGTCAACTCCTGTCCCTATCTGCAGGGGACAAGGAACTGGGAAGGGAAGGTGCACTGCACTTAATGTGCCCCACATTAAGCAGCCTTCCTCTCCCATCTGGGTGACCCCCACCCTGTCCCTAATGTAAGCCTGGGGCAGAGAACTGGGAGGAAGGAGGGGACCAGGTCCCATCCTCTCACGCAGCATGTGTGCCCTCAGCCCCCGAAACAGATGTGCACACCCACAGAAAGTCCTTTTCCACAGCTTGGTGGGCACACGGCTCTAAAGATTCGAAAGAAGATGTGCCGATGCCAGGGAAGATCACAAAGTGTGAATGTTGGACAAAGATTGGGCAGGTATCCAACCCACCTCCTGTGTCATCGCGGAGGAAACTGAGGCCCAGAGAGACAAAGGGGATTCCTAACATTGCCCACTTAGTCAGGGAAGAGCCAAGACTGGAACCCAGGACATTGGTTCTAGTTCCATCCTGGCCTCCCCACTCTGTCCCTTCCACCTGCCACCTTTCAGGCCAGCTGCAGAAGAAAGAGCCAAAGACTGAGACTAACAGAGGAGTGACCTTTCTAGATCACCCAGGCTACCTCCAGGCCAAAGCCATCTTCTGATGAATTCCTGGTTTGAGCCCAGCCATGAGGGAGCATGGGCAGAATTCCAACTTCTTGTGGCTCTTAGTAACCAGTTTTCCCCTAAATCCTGCCTTGGATACTTTCTCCACTGGTGGTATCTCCAGCATTTGCCCTGGAGCCATTGTTAACATACTGTAACCAGTGAACTGGACGATGTGGTGCTTGTTGCTGCTAACCCTGAATCTTAGATTGTGTGGCTGTCTCTTCAACTCGATTAAGTTCCTGAAGGCAGAACACTGTGTTCCTTGCTATTATCTTCCCTAGCACCTGCACCGGTAGGCACTCGATGAAGGTTTTATAGAACACCAGGATATTAGTGCCGGGAGAGACTTTAGTCTGAGTAGGCAAGTTTCTTGAGTGACCTCATGCCAGGAGCCACTTCAGGGTGGAGCAGCCATTCCCCCAGGAGCCAGCTGTCTTAGAAGGCTCCACCTCAAGCCCATGTCTGCTTCCTGTTAGTTGTACCCATTGATCCTGGTTTTACCCTTGGTAGCAGCAATACAAGCTCAAATTTCCTTCATTGTATGGGATTCTCAAAATATGCAATAAGTATCCTGTCACCCTTGGTCTAATAGATATGAAAGCATTGAGACAGGGCCAGGGGTTGGGGTGAATGGGGAGGCTTTGAGAGCAGTGCAAATGTGGGAAGAGGAGGGGTATGAGGGGCACAGGAAGACTGCAGGAGGCCAGCTGACCTGGTGTTCTCCACATATGGATAAAGAAGGTTGGGTTTGGGTTGCAATTTGGTGGATTTTCCTATCTCCACTATCTCTATTCTTCTGTCCTCCCGTATCTCTGCTCCCTTTGGGGTTCAGAAAATCGTGGGGTGGTGCAGAAAGACACTCTGCATGGAGCATCCCTTGGAACTTCCAGGTCTGTGTCTCACAGCACTTTCACCTCTAAACCCCAAGAGCTTCCCAGGAGGAAGCATAGAACATGCTAGACAGAAAGCATTAATCCTCACAACATCTAGGTGAGGTAGAGGGACTGGAAAGGGGACTGCACTTTTGTTTCTCCCCGCTCAAAGGAGAGGAAACTGAGGCACAGAGAAAGAAAGGGACTTGCCCAAGGAGTCAGAGAAGGAGCTAGAGGCTAGGAACACAGCCTCCCAAACCCAGCTAATGTGGCTGCTGAGCCAGGATCAACTCTGAGGGACTGGATCAGACTGGACACATCCCAGAGAAGCTCAAGTTGCTCCCCAAGGACCACAGTGCTTGACCTCAGCCTTGAGTGCTAACTGAGAGCACTTTGGCCAAGACCAAGCGTCCATGACCCATGCTATCTTGTCTGCATCATCTGGTTGATTTTTTGCATAGGGAGGCAAGGGCACAGCCTAAAGGAGGGATATGTGATGAACATTGGCCTCGGGCTCCCAGGAACACAGGGGCAGCTGGAGGTAAAGGCCAATCCCTCACTGGACCAGTGTGGAACCAGGGAGTAGGGATAGCCAGGGCCAAGCAGGTGAGCCCTGAGACCAAGGAGCCCTCCCTAGATGAATGTCCTCTTCCCTGCGGGAGCTCTGCCTTCCTCAGAGGCCCTGCTGAGACCCCATGGGCTCCTGTTCTAGTCCTCCTTCCCCAGATGAGCCTTCCACACTCCATGCAGTGTAAACATGAGAAGAACAAAAGCCAAGAAAAAAACAAAAACAACACGATAACCCCGCCTCCCGCCTCCCAAACTGGGTGGAAAAATGTATCCTTTTTCACCCTAAACAGGATTTGGCTTTTTTTTTTGTCACCTTTGATCCTCTTTCTTTTTGTCTCACAAAGACGGGGAGATTGGGGCTGTCGTTGGTTGGTTCGGTCAGGCACCAAAATAAGAAAATCAATGAGAAATATTTGGTGCGGATTCGGTAATAGCGACATGTCCACCACAAGATGACTAGAGCACCACACACAACATTTTTCTTAAGCTAACATGCTCCGGCTGCCGTCCACAGAAATAGCTAGAGACCCCTACATGGTTCCTACATGGTCGAGAGGTATATATACAATCCTTCAAAGGACAGGATTGAGGGGCCGGTCTACCAGCTAGTGTCTTCAAGATCCCTCCTCGGTTCTCAGCAGCCTGGGCCCCCCCTTCCCGCCCCTGCTGTGGGCACGGCCAGCTCCCTCCCTTCTGCACAGATGGACGGATGGGGACAGTCACCATTCTGGATGGGTGGGCCTCCCCACCCTCTCCTTTCCCTCAGACACTGATACCACCGACTCCTCCTTCCACAAAATGTGCTTGCAGGCTTTTCCTCTACGTCAAATGGCTCAGAAGGCAAAGTTTGGCTGCAAGGGCTATGGCCGTGGGGGACCTGGTGAAGGAAATGGGGCGTCCACTGGCTAATTCTCCCCTCAGCTGTCGGCTCCCAGTTGTGTCTCAATGTCCACTCGGCAGATGGGGCATTTCTTGCTCATGGCGAGCCACTGGTCCACACACAGTTGGTGAAAGAGATGCATACAGGGTAGGCGTCTAAAAGAGAAGGGTGAGAGTCAGGGACTAGCGGGGGGGGGCAAGAGCTGAGGGATACTGAGGGGAACAGGAGACACACCCAGGACTGTAGGGGACCCACCCTACTACAGAGGGGGGCTGTGGTTGAGATTGGAAGCCGTGACAAGAGGCTTCAAGGCCCTCCCCCTCGGTGAAGCTCTTGCACATTAGCCTGAAACAAAGCCATGACTCTGTCTTCAACCCATCCAGGCCAAACATAGCACTGTTCTCTTACACTTTGCATCTATACATCTATAACCAGGGCATCACGCATCTAGAACATTCCATACCCCATCATCCCGGTACACCAAAGAGGCATAGTGTAGGGCACATGCACAAGCAAGCACCCACCCACCCCCAGCACGCAGCACAGGGAGAGAAGGGAGGGGACTCAAAGAGGTGGTGTCTTACCTCACATCTTCTCCATCTTCAAGCATAGACAGACAAATTGTGCACTTCTCATCTGTGTCTGACTCCTCCCCCTCGTCCTTCTTGCCCTTGCTGTCCTGGGGTCTTCGCTGGGAGAAGCAGAGAGAGGAGCACTGTTACCCGGGGCCGGGACACCTGGTGGCCATTGGCTTTCATCCCCAGCCTCCTCCCTCTCTGCAGCTTCCTCATTACCAGGAGTAAATCCTTTTTAAGGGACCTCCTTCCCACTCCCTCCCCACTGCAGGAGAGAGAGTTAAGGAAGAGGTTGAGTGGTATTTATTTTTGCTATCCCAAGTGCTTTCTAGGGACACAGACCTTGGAAAGGAACTGGGTTTCTAACCAATCAGTCCTCCGCAAGGCTATGACATGCACACAGCTTCCATTTTCTGGTTCACTCCTTACATCCTTTAGAGCCTAGATCCTTGCCTTCAGGCATCTCCCTCCGTATTCAGGTCCAACAGGCTTCATTCATTAATTCATTCAGTCACTCAACTAATGTCCATTCATTTATTCACTCATTATTAGATGAAGGCAAAATTCCTCAACCTGGTGTTAACTCCTGTAAATGTTACCAAATTGTTGTGAACTATTTTATATTCTTCCTGTCCAGAAAACATATTTCAGAAAGGAACTACTGATATCTTTTTTTTTTTAATTTTTATTTCTTGAGGCAGTCTTACTATGTCGCCCTCAGCAGAAAACCCTCGCTTAAACTCTTGGGCTTAAGCGATTCTCTTGCCTCAGCCTCCCAAGTACCTGGGAGTATAGGTGCCTGCCACAACACCTGGCTATTTTTTTGTTGTTGTTGCAGTTGTCATTGTTGTTTCACTGGCCTGGGCCAGGTTCAAACCCGCCACCCTTGGTGCATGTAGCTAGCGCTGTAACCACTGTGCTACAGGTGCCAAGCCAGAACTACTGATATCTTAAAGCAATCATGCAATACTCTGTTTAAACTGGTTGACTTTCATTGCCGTATTGTTAATTTTATGCTAATCATTTGAACTAGTTAACCACTATGTAGAAAATTTCCAGTTCCTAGATGATGAGGACCAGGACTTATCCTTCTTTAAGTACCACCCCACACTTGGCCAATGAGTACTGAATACAGTAGAACCTCTGTAAGCTGACCACACAAGGGACTATAACAAACTGGTCAATATACAGAGGTGGTCAACATAAGGAACTAGGCCTACTATACTAACACATACATGTGATGCATGTCCAGTCTATGAAAATTAGGTCAACTTAAGGAGGTTGTCAACGTAGGGAGGTGGTCAACTATGGAGGTTCTACTGTAAATATTCTGGAAAAGAAGGAATCTAATTAGCAAGCAATATCATCCCACCTTTCAAGTTCCCTTCTCCATGCTGTGAAATGAAACAATCTGACAATAAACATGGGAAAAAATGACTCATTCTGTCCCTCTCCAAAAATAAGCAGACTTTAAGGTCATTTTGCAAAGAGAAAAATCTAAAGAGTCACAAGATGAAGACCACTCAGAGAATGACCTTGAGGCCAGGTCCCCCTACTCTGGGTTACTGGTCCTAGACACTGGAGTTCCTTGGGCTTTGAAAGACTAACTTCACTGGAACGACAGGAGAATCAATACCTTCTGCTCTCAGCCTCACTGCACTTTATATATCCCAATGCAAACCACGCTAGGCTTCCGCAATAAATTTCTCCTTAATCTAGATTTCAGGAAATCAGAATTATACCCACGGTCCCATATAATTGTCATGGGTTTGGAGTATGAATAGAGTCCTGATGATCTGACTGCTGAAGAGTCCAGCTGTGTTTTTCTAGAGGAGTGGCCTCCAAGTTGGCCTTGCCAGAAAAGGGATGTCCAATACAAGAAGCCATTAAGACCCAACTACTTTCTTATTTTCTCTTGTTTCTCCCCATCATTGTACTTCATTTCCTTTTTATAGTAATAATTTCAGCTTAATATTGCCTTGTTTTACTACGTCTAATTAATATTTCTTTACAATATTCTCCCTTTTCAATTCTTACCCTACTTCCCATTTGCTATTTTTTATCGTTTAGATCTTCTGGTTTTCGTTTTCTCTTCAGTATCTACATAGCTTTTATTTCAACATTAACTTTTTCCAGCATTTATGTTTCTGTTTATTTTATTTTGCTCTTACCTTCTCATTTCATTAACATTCTCTTTTAACTTGAATATTGTTGATTTACATTTTATGTGTTACTTTCATACTTTTCCTACTTCTTATTCTTTTCATATTTTTCTATTTCAACTCTATATTTTCTGTATTTTTATTCTTATATCATTATTTTAAATTATGTTTTTTTGTTTATATTATTTTACTCTCCGTTTAAATGTTTTAGGTTTTTTTCATGTTTTATTTGGATCTTAACTTTCCTCATTTCTCACTTTTAAATTTTCTTATTCTTTTTAGTTATAATCTTTATTGCCTTAATTCTCCTTCTATTCGCCTAAATTTTTACCTGAGATGTTTATTTCAGTGATTCAGTCCATTTTCCATTTCTTAGTGTTAGCTCTTTTTACAGTTTCCTTGTGTTTTGGTGAAGTGATGCCAGGTGAGGTGTGTGACCTTGGAAAGAATGAACATCCCTGGTCTGGAGCACAGATGATGCTCCTGGGATCCTGAACACGCCACTTATTCTCTTCCCTATTCTTCTCCAATAGATTAATGTGCTCTCTCCAGAGAATGATCATTTTCCCCAGGCAGATGGCATCTTTAATTGCTAAAATACTGCCAGTTCCTCTGAGTACACTATCCATTGTCCGGCACATAGAAGGTACTCAACAAATGTTGCTGAAACCATTTATGAATAAAATCCCAGATATCATGAGGAAGGAGCTGCATATACCAAGATCCCTGGTCTTTGACATTGACACCACTTGGCACATGGGCAGCGCTAGGGAAGAGCATACCTTACATCAAGGTAACAAACAGCTCACAACTTCTAAGCACTTGGTAGGTACCAGGCACTGCACTAAGCTGTTCAAACACATTATTCCCTTGACTCTCCATAGCACCTGATATACTAGATACTATTAATAATATGATCATTCTCATTTCACATTAAAAATGGCAGTGGAGGGGAAAGTCCAGAAAAGCCAAGCAAGTTGTCCCAAGTCACACAGCTATAAGAAGCACAAATGAAATTCAAAACTGGCTCTAACCTCAACACAAGTGCTGTCATCCACTGCACCCTCAGCTGAAGGTGGCCCCTATCCTGAGCATGATGAATAGGGTTCTACTCTAAGAGTCTTAATATTTGTCAAGCTTTTAATTTCTCCTGGAAGGGGGTGATGATTTTTCTTTTCTTTTCTTTTTTTTTTTTTTGAGACGGAGCCTCAAGCTATCCCCCCCCGGGTAGAATGCCATGGCATCACACTCACAGCAACCTCCAACTTCTGGGCTCAAGCGAGTCTCCTGCCTCAGCCTCCCAAGTAGCTGGGACTAAAGGCGCCCACCACAACGCCTGGCCATTTTTTGATTGCAGCCATCATTGTTGTTTGGCGGGCCCGGGCTGGGGATTCAAACCCACCACCTTAGGTGTATGTGGCTGGCGCCTTAGCCGCTTGAGCCACAGGCGCTGAGCCGATGATTTTTCAAAATTAATTTTTTTTGAGACAGAGTCTCACTATGTTGCCCACAGTAGAGTGCAGTGGCATCACAGCTCACAGCAACCTCAAACTCTAGGGCTTAAGCAATTCTCTTGCCCCAGCCTCCTAAGTAGCTGGGACTACAGGCACCTGCCACAATGCCTGGCTATTTTTTTGTTGTTGCAGGTGTCATGTTGTTTAGCTGGCCCAGGCCAGGTTCAAACCCAACACATCCAGGGACCCCTATTATTAACATGTTGCTTTAGTGTGGTACATGTGTTACAATCTGAGTCAATATGACAGACTATTACTGACTGAGGTCCATTAGTTTACATTGAGGTTCATTCTTTGTGTTATACTCTTCTATCAGTTTTGACAAATATACACCATCACCTGTCCACCATGAGAGTATCATACTAAATACTTTCACTGCCCTAAAAATCCCCTACACTACATTTATTCATTCCTGCCTCCCTCTCTCCCCAGTGGCAACCACTGACCTTTTCACTATCTACAGTTTTTCCTCTTCCAGAATGTCACCTAGTTGGAAGCATACAGTATGCAGCCTCTTTGGGCTGACTTCTTCAACTTAGGAATGTACATGTAAAGTTCCTTTACATCTTTTCTGTGGCTTAATAGGCTTTTTATTACAGAATAATATTCTATTTTATGGATATCCCATCCACTCACCTATTGAAGGACATCTTGGTTGCTTCCAAAATTTTTCCTTTATTTTAATTTTAAAAATGTATTTAAAGCTTAGGTGGCTGGGTTCTAATCCTACCCCGGATTCATGGACCCTAGAGTTGTGCCTCTACAGGCTTAGAGCAGAGCTTATGATGACTCTGAGGCTTTAAAAGCTCCCCCAAGTGATCCTGCTACTCAGTAAGCTTTGAAAACTCCTGCTCAGAAGCCTTAGTTACCCATTTGTCCATGTCTGGATTGGAGATAGAATTATTTTCTAAAGCAAATATTAGCCTTCTGTGCAGGGGCCCCCTTGACCCATCTCAATTAGATACAAACATGTATATGCCTGACATCTACATGTATAGACATACATAATATACCCGTTGACAAGTCCACATGCACACACACATACCCAGCCCTTCTTCTTTACTGATGAGAAACTCTCCATCTCCCCACCTGGCCACATCTGGCACAGCCAAATGAAAAGACCCTAAGAAGTTATCATAGCTTTATAATATCTAACCAGACCAAGTCTTCTGGGTTTTAGACTGTGCCTCTCTGTGGACAAACAGGCCAGGGTCAATTAGACATCCTCTCCCCCATTCCCTGACTTAGCGGGCTGTCCTGCTGGCAGACCCACCTTCTTGTACTTGTGGGGGAAGGTGAACCTCTCAATGGTGTTCTGTACAGCTCCCCTAGTGACGTTTCCCAACCTGTCCTCCAGCTGCAGAAGCTCCTGCAGAGAGAAAAATGTGGACGTGTGTACTCAGCATGTGCAAACACACACATACACACATGATAAGGATGAGGGCCACACATAGCCACCAGGAAGAACTTGCCTGATGTTGAAAGACTACTGTATGTCTACTTGCTCTCCCTTTTCTCTCTCTAACTCTCAACTCTAAGGCTTCCCACCACTCACACCCTACCCACCAGCAAGGGGAAGAAGATGAGATGATGAACAATAATGGTATCTCCACCAACCCAGCTGGTGCCAGACAGAGCATCTTACCTCATAGCTCTCCCTCACAGCGGAGGTGTGTCTGCTGGGATTTAGTCCCTGGAGAGCAAGGAAGTGAAGCTGAGGGTAAGGGTAGTTTCGGATTTCATGAACCACCTGTGAGGGAAAAAATGTCTTAGATAGAGCGAGGATTCAAGGCTCCATGAGCCCAGTGTGTAGCTCCCTCCTCCCACAACCACCAGCCAGCACCATGAGATGCTATGGGCAGAAATGCAGAGCTGCCTTTCCTGCTCTTCTGTCTTTCTCTCCTCAAGAACCAACCGCGTCCCTGGAGCAGCCCCAGAAAGAGTAACAAAGTCAACAAAGTGTCATCTAACCTTCATGTCAGGCACTGTTTTCAGCACTTCACATGATTGATGAATTTAACTATCTCATGTAATCTAAAACACAGGCTGAAAGACTATAGGCACTATTATAATCCCCATTTTACTATGGGGATTTAATCTGCTATGGCAGATTAAATAATTGGCTCAAGTTATGCAGATGACAGAACCAGGATTCTAATGGAGTGGCAGAGTTCATTCACTTCATCCCTACCCTGAGCTACCTCTGAGCACAGAATGAAAGGTAAGGAATTGGACTAGGCCCAAGATCAGGGTTGGGGCACAGAATTTAAGTGGCTACCAAAAGATTCAGTAATCAAGATAAATAATACAGTAAGACCTCCATTGCTGACCACCTCTTGAAGCTGACCTAATTTTCATAGACCAAACTTGCACCACATGTACATATCAGTACAGTAGGCCTAGTCCTTTATGTTGACCACCTCCATATGGTGACCAATTTTGGCTTTTTTGAGACAGAGTCTCAATATGTAGCCCTTGATAGAGTGCCATGATGTCACAGTTCACAGCAACCTCAAACTCTTGGGCTTAAGTGATTCTCTTGCCTCAGCCTCCTAAGTAGCTGGGACTACAGGCATCCGCAGCAACGCCTGGCTGTTTTTTGGTTGTAGTTGTCATTTTTGTTTTTAGCAGGCCTGGGCTGGTTTGAACCCACCAGCCCCAGTATATGTGGCCAGCACCCTAGCCACTGAGCTAT